CCTTATCCTGCCTGATTCTTGATTTTCCATTTGAGTATATGCTGACCTTAAGAAAATATTATAATTAATATTGATGATAGTGGTAGTTCATAATCCTTAGAAGGAAAAACCTTCATTCTTCGAGTTGGAAGGGGAGCAAACCTTCTTTACAGAGTATTTTCTTAGCTTTAAAGGAGCTTTCCAACTATTTAGTAATGTGGGGTTATTATTTAAAACAGAATGGTCTAAATCAGAGCATCACAGGCTGGGATATTCAAATTGCTTGTTACTAATATAAGTAAAAATCAAATAAAATGTTTTTCTGTCAAATATTTGGAGTCTGAAGATGACTAACTGAAGATGATCGTGACTGACATCATCAAGGTTATTTTCTCAGACTGTGGAAATCTCCCTTCAGAGGCACAGAATACATTACACAGCTGTTTTCATAGGCTGAGTAGTGCTCAGTATGCATGGGGTGGCGGTTTAACATATTGTTATTATCCACCTGACAGTTAAACCAGACCCCCCGGAGCGTGTGACAGCAACTCCGATCCGTTCCAACACTCGGAGGCTGGAGGTATCCTGGCACAGCCCTGCCACCTGGCCTGACATCGACAGCTTCCCTCTGAAATATTTCCTTCGATACCGGCCACTCATCCGAGAGCAGTGGCAGCATGTGAGTAGCACTGTGTGTGTGTGAGAAAACCCCCTCCAAATTGGCTTTTTTCAGGTTTATGATTGAAAACCCAAAGAAAAGATGAGACTTACTGTATGAAGGTGTGTTAGTATATCCCATAGATTTATTCCCATACTGTATCTTTAGAATATGTCATTTACAAACAGTCAAAATGCCGTAAGAATCAAGTTTGGAAAGAGATTTACCCAATGCAGCCAACAAAAGCATATGCCTGAGTTTCACTAAATAACAATAGCTTGTTTTGAAAAAATAAAGGGGTTATAGATGGTCAGCAGTGTTGGTTTAGATATGTTTCCATTAACAAAAGCAGTAAGTCAACATAAAAAAAAAAACACCTGCACGTGTATGATTCATTATTTGGAAACATCTGGTGAGTGTTTGTTATTTCTTTTTTGGAAGTGCTTTTCTGACAAAAAAAGACTGGCCTTTCAGATTGAGTTTCACCTCATTGCAAAATATTTCTCAAAAGGAAATGATCAGTATTATTGCCCAAACAAAATTAAACTAAGTTATATTTTAAAGGAAAAAAAAGTTCTTTGTCCAGAGAGATGCCTCTGAGAACAGCTATAAGTGAAATGGTCCAACCTGTAGCTGCTTGAGCTTGATCCCTGGACAGACACACATAATCATTTAGCTGCTTTGGCATCCAGTATGTTATAGTATCTGACTAGTTCTGCTGGATCCAGGTCCCTAAGGGATTTGTTTAATAAAATCATATGTGTCCACAGTAGGATTGCTGGGATGTAAGCACTGACTACCAGGCCAAGGTGTTGTTCCAAGAATTTAGGTTACAAACCCCCACGTGGAAACATACATATGAATTCAAGTTCAATACTCATTTTCTTTTTCCATCTTTCTTTCACGTTTTTCCCTTGCATGCATCCTTCAGCTAGCATCTCTGTAATTACCACTTTTTCCTCCTATTCTATCTCATCTCATCACATCACATGTGCTACATCTCTGCAAAAGTCTTCAGTCACACAATCACACATGTAAAGACATACCGCTATTATATACACAGAGGTACGTTCAGTCTATGTCTCTATCTCTTTCTTTCTCTCTCTCTCTCTCCTTCACACACACTGTATTTTTATTCCTTGTGGGGGCTTTACATTGACTTACATTCATTTCCTGTAGACTTATCCTAACCTTAACCATAACCACTACTTGCTTAATCCTAACCCTGACCCTAACACTTAACCTAACCTCACCCTAACCTTAAACCATGTTGCCACCCTAAAATTCAGTGCGGAGTCCCCACAGTGTGAGTGTGTTAACAGGTCCCCATAATGTAAATAATACAAAAGCACAAACCCACACACATGCACGCACACACACAAAAAACAGCAGTTAGATTGAAGAAAGTTGTAATAATGCCTCAGATCTTTGTGGTTTAATCGTTGACAGACACTCTCAGTTTTCCTTCTCCTACTCACCACTAGTCAAACCTTAAGTCAATATTTGGATTGGATAAGAACACATCATTTGGAAATTATATAAATACATTCAATGACAGCTGAAACCTGCAGGGTTTTCCGTTTTGTTCTTTGATGAATGTCTCTGTGGTCATGGTTTTTTGCAGCCCTAAGTGCGGTTTTAACAAGAGGTGATTCTGAACCTATTGCCTGTAGAACACAATTTGGACATTTGGCCCTTTCATTAGGTATTGAGTGTTCTCAGTCCCACAGAAAGTGCACAGACTGTTCAGTAGATAAATAGATGATTTGTGCATGTGGGATTTTTATATGGATAATTAGCCAATTTCTTTAGTCCAGTGAACTTTTGTTAATATATAAGTGTATCATTGGCAAATGATCTGAATTTGTATCAGACCTCTGACTCACCCACCGCATCTCTGATTTAGTCAGCAATTCATATGGACAGGCTGTTTAGGTGGAGAAAGAACAGAGCCAATCAGAGCATAAGCACAAATCATACATTCCACATCTGCATAGCCAAGTAGTGTAAATCAGCCCCATGGCCTCATCCAGACTATTCACGTTCTGTTGCATGGAACCTTGTCACTGGCTACTGCCATTATACTATAGCTAATAATGGCTGAATATACTGTGCATCACGTTTAATGAACTAGCACACTGTTGTAGAAAACATTTAAAACTATCAAGCTGTGATTTAAATTATTAAAGGGAGTTTAATGAGGTTGCCAAAATACACAGTGTTCTGCCTCCATATTCATTAATTGTAGCCTCAGAGTCTGAATACTAGTTGAACTGAATTGTATTGCTTAGGAATTTACCTTTAGTGTGGTTAGGCAGCAAAGTTTGTGAGAATGCTTTTCACATGTAACATTTAGAAATGTGTTTCGAGTCAGAAATGAAAGCAGTGGTGTGATTAGACAGATCTGTAGAGGAAAGCATCCAATCTCCTGAGGAATGGAGGGCTAACTGGCCCAGATACTTGGAGTAATGGGGATTGAGGAAAATGAAGAGAGTTCTGAAGTAGAGATGAATGGAGTGCAACAGAGAATAAGAAAAAACATTAATGGACAACAGACTGCAGCAGACGCAGTAAAGAGAAGGAAGCAGTACAGTATATACACATGAGCTGGACATTGACGGATACATGAGAGCTTATGGACTTAAGTTATGAAGTACCAAAGGTGACTGAAATGCATGCACATACATGTCTAGGGATGAGGGATTGAGCAAAGGGAACCAGGTGCTTATTGCATTTGAAAAAAAGATGAGTCTGAGACCATGTTACTTGATTATGAAAACTGAAAGAAGGATGGATTGTGGGTATGAGGTACGGAGAGAAAAAGAGAAACTGCCATATGGAAGGAACATGATTAAATGCATACAGACTCAAAAATATAAATGGATGAAAGGGTGAAAGACCAGAAGAAAAGTGAGCACTAGGGGCAACTTTAAAAGTAAACTTTAATAAGGTATCAGTTACAAGCTGTTTGAAGTTAAAAAGATAGATGAATGGTTCAAGAGAAGATTGAAAAATAAAACTTCTGGTATGTGCTAAGTCATCAAATGATTGATGAAGTGGAGACACAGAGCAAGGGAGAGACCTCAGACTTTACTGAAATAAGAGCATCAGGATAGCATAGCATACACTTTAGATTGATTTTGCTTGTGACATATCTGCTGATACAAAGACAAGTGGTTCACATTTAGTAATGATTTGCAGATTGATGACAAGACAAAGACAAGAAAGACACAAGAAGCCATGCAGCCATACTGAATATTTTACAAATGTCCACAATAACATTTTTAATAAGTAAGTAAAGTAGACATTAGCCAGCTACAGTACCCATTTGAGTCATGACAGTCCCAAATCTGCCACATGAATAGTACCTGCTGCAGTATACAAGACTGTCCTGAATCACATTAACAACATGGAATAGATAAGTGTAGGAAAGTAGCTCAATTATGAGTTTGGTGAATATTAATCAGAATTATTACACATGCCCAGTTTAACTGTTTGTCTGCCAAAATAGCTTAATAAAGCCAGATGTGATAACACTAGACAAAAATTGCTCTTGGCGGCCTGCCAGAAAGGATTTCTTCACCAGATATTATCTTTTAGGGAGAATTAATGGAAAATAAGTGAGGTTGCGAAAAATCTCTATGGGTTGTCCCCCTTACATTTCTTGCATGACGTTCTCTGGTCAGATGGTTCGTACCAGCTGGTGAAACTAGAAATCTTTCCATTATTGCCGAATGGGACCAAGAAGTCATGTAGTATTTGTAATGGCTTTCGATATATTCATAAGATTTGACATGCAAACTAGATTAAATGGTGACATGCAAAGCTCAGGACTCTAGAGGTTAAATGGTGACATGTCAATTAAATGTTAACCTAAGTATTAGTAGATATTAAATAAGAATACATTGAGTTAAGAAAACATATGAAAGTTAACTGCTCAAAAAATGTATTAATTTTGAAAAGCGGGCAGGCAGAGAAGATGTGTGTGTGTGTATGCATTACACATGCAACTCATGATTGTGGGTCCATTTCTGGATCTGTTGTCCAGCCAGTGTTACCAGTGTTCATTAACTTCAGATTTTGTAGTAATCAGTCCTTTTGTGCCTTTTGAGAGTCTCATGGTGAAGAGAAGAAAGACGACCTCTGGGGTCATTCATGGCTCACACAGTGTTGTTTTCCCTGTCTGTTTTCTCTCAGTCTGTGATCCCACGCTCTTTTGAGCATAAATCCTATCCCACTTTTTCACAGTGTTGCCATTTTGTTACTCCAAATGGCTTTGGGGTCATGTATTGTAAAACTTAGTCCTGATAAGAGAGGCCCTGGAATGCGTGGTGCTGATCAAAGGTCCTGATGGATTTGCATTTCTGTCATGATGATTGGAAGTGTGTTATGCAGCACATAGCCTTGCTGTGGCTGTCTGTATGGCCCTCCATAAGGTACTTGAAAGATAAGATTTCAAGATGTTGAAAGCAAACCCCTTGTGTCCTCAAAGCCCCAGATTTGTTACAAGAAAAAAGCAACTTACTAACTAACCGACTTGGGCAAAGAAAGTACACCAGCACAGTTTCTTTTTAAAGAATAAAAAAATAACTTCAGGATGTGCATTGTTTCCCTTTGCAGTGGTGCACATAACAGTCTGCATCCTAATCGGTAATTTGAGGGTTCATTATGAAAGATGCTAAAGAATCGACACATGAAAGTACATCTGTATGCCTGTAAAAGTTCAGTGAAGTGTTTTCCTGTTTCCTGTGGCCTCCTGTATCCTTCCCTCACTTACACTCATTTCACTGAGATGTGAACTCAAACCCTCACAGCAATTAAAGCAGCGGTCCATTAACTGTGATAAGAATGATTTCAGATCGCTCAGTATTCTCCTTGTGGTATGAAACAGCATCTGGTACGCTGTAACTGCACTTTGGGGATGATGCTGAACTCCAATCAACTGAAAACACACACGTTTCCATGCAGATACTCTCATGCATGGAAATGTGCTTATTCACAAAGAAATGAACACATGTACA